GACCCCCCCCCAGCAGACTAGGGAAACCGGGAGAAGCTTTTCTCGCCCCAGAGGACACGGGTGGTGACCCGCTGCCCGTGAGCTCCGGGGCGAGAATAGCCCCGTTCGTAAGTGCGAATCCGACATAAGTCGGATCTGTGTAAGTCGGGGACTGCCTGTAATTCCTAATGAGAGCCCTAAGCCACTTCTGAAAATGGGACTTTGGTGCTTTTGAAGTACAAGTTATACCTCCCTGGTCTGGCACCCTTGGGACCTGACTGGTCTCAAACCAGGAAATCTGCAGGATCAGGGGAGGTCAGTGGTGGCCCCGTTGCCCTTAGGGCACTGTTGCTATGGCTGCCAGGACTTCGTTTTTCCCTGGTCTGGCAATGCTCCTAGTCCCAGCTTGCTGGACCTTCCTGCATGAATGCACCAGTCTACGGGGTTGCTGACTATCCCAGATCAGAGAAGTCTGGATTCAACCTGTATTACCACTAAGCTTTTCAGTTTTTTCCATACCTGATGTGACATTTTTCACGAGCAAGAACTCCACTTTACCCTTTAAATTATAAGTTCGATAAGAAATGAACATGGGAAAAAAAGGTGAAATGTGAAGTGACTGGCCACTACTTTGGAAATGATTGGGTTTTAAAATGCTTGCTAGAATACCTCTAGAAAGCTAGTGATAATGTAGCCGTGTTAGGCTGGGATAGCTGAAGCAAAATGCAGGACAATGTAGCACTTTAAAGACTAACAAGATGGTTTATTAGATGATGAGCTTTTGTGGGCCAGACCCACTTCCTCAGATCAAATAGTGGAAGAAAATTGTCACAACCATATATACCAAAGGATACAATTAAAAGAAATGAACACATATTAAAAGGACAAATCACATTTCAGAACAGGAGGGGGATGCGGGGGCAGGGGGGAAGGAAGGAAGGTAAGTGTCTGTGAATTGATGATATTAGAGGTGGGGAGAGTGGGATGTTTGTGAGCTAATGGTATTAGAGGTGATAATTGGGGAAGCTATCTTGGTAACGGGTAAGATAGTTTGTGTTTGTTCATTCCTTCTTGGAGAGTGTCGAATTTTAACATGAATGACAGTTCAGAGGATTCCCTTATGTTATGGGAACATAGTTGCTTATGATTTTCTAAAGGTGTAATATGGGTGAATTTAAAAGCAACATATTTAAAAGCAACTAATCAAAACAATTTTACACACAGCTCCAAAAGGCCAGACTGATCAGCTGGGCCTTGATGCTACGCTCAGACTTTGGGTACATCTAGACTACATGCCCCTTGCGACAGAGGTATGTAGAATAGGCTACCTGGCATAGGAAAATGAAGCGGCGATTTAAATAATCGCCGCTTCGTTTAAATTTAAATGGCTGCCATGCTGAGCCAATCAGCTGTTTGTCGGCCCAGTGCAGTAGTCTGGATGCTCTGCGGTCTACATCAAAGGCATTTGTCGACCTCTCAGGTAGGTCTCCTGGAGGCATACCTGGGACATCGACAAATGCCTTTGATGTCGACTGCAGAGCATCCAGACTACTGCGCTGGGCCGACAAACAGCTGATTGGCTCAGGTGATTATTTAAATCACCGCTTCATTTTCCTATGCCGGGTAGTCTAATCTACATGCCTCTGGCGGCAGAGGCATGTAGTCTAGACATACCCTCGAGATCTACATACCTCTGTTGCCAGAGGCATGTAGTCTAGACGTACCCTTAGTGATATATGCTTTGTTGATCCCAAAGAGGAAGCACATCCTGGATCCAGGGACACCTCTCTCTCTCTCTCTCTCTCTCACTCACTCACTCACTCTCTCACACACACACACACACACACACACACACGAAATTGAATTTAGGAAGAGCCTTTAAGTTACTCTTTACTGCAAGGATGGGGCAGCAGGGGAGAGGAAATCTCCCAAGGTAGCCAGCACCCAACCACCATCAATTGGTAGTAAATTGGCATATGTAGGAAGATAGTTACACTGTTCTCCATTGTACATGTTCAGTGCAGATGCTACCAGCTGGAGTGGAAAAACAAAAAGAATGGGGGTTTCTCCTCACTGGAAAATAAATGTTGCCCCAGTCAAGGCTGTCAGAGTTAAGAGAGGCTGATAAGGGGTAGGAAAATTGTTATGCAGTGATCAGCAAAAAGGAGTCTCAAAAGAGAAAAGGTACAGGGAAGTAAAGAATTTAAGCAGAATCAAATAGGTGTGGAATAAGGCACCAGGAAACATACAAGAGGCAAAGGATATCTTTGCTTGAGAAACACCTTGACTGCTCTCTGGAGAGCAGCTGGAAGGTTGTACTGCAATTAGTGAGGGGGGAGGGACTTGAGCTGCCATGCTATGGCTTTTTGCCTGAAATAGTTGGACCAGAATATCCTGTTGGCTAACCCAGCCCAATGGCACTCAAAGGGAGTGATCAGCTCCCAAAGGGCAGCCTGTCCTTGCTGCTACTTCCTCTTGGCTTCTTGCCAAGAGGCAAGTGATATTCATCTCCCTGGGCTTATCAGTTAATTATATCAACTACACACAATCCTCCCCTCCCCCCTTGCTACATCTGTATCAGAGGCAGCAAGGAGGTGGCACCTGTCGGAACCCAGCTTTTAAGCTGGCTCCCACAGAGGCAGGGGGGTGGGCAGGCAGGAGTAAACGTGCAGGGAGGCAGCTTTTAAACTGCCTTTCCATGGGTGCCGGCTTCTGTGGAGCTGCAGCTCCCTTCCCCCATTGCTGCTCCTACAAGTAAAACTGGAAGGGGGAAATGTTTTGGTGGAAAAATCACCAATGCTGCATTAAAAAAAAATTCTGCCAGGAACATTAGTTCTGTGCAAATCCTGCATTGTGCCATAGTGCAGAATTCTAGCAGGAGTAAGAATCCCTTCTGGCCTGAGTTTGTATGAAAATTACAGTGGAAGAATAAAGTTTCAAATCTATAGCTATTAATTAAAAACAGGACTAAATCACCAAGAATGATTTCTTGAACGTTATTTCAATTACATACCTGAGCTCATGAAGCAGGCATAGCATCAGCTCCATGACCTGTTTGAAAACAAGAAAATCAGAGCTGCAATCAGATAAAGAAAGCAGCAGGGTCCCCCCCTCCCTCCCACATTTCTTAAAGTAAAAATAGAGAGAAGGTAGGGGGGAATAGAACTTTCTTTGAAAAAGCTGTGGAAGTGATGTGCTGTTTGCCTGCAGCTCTGATCTTCCTACCACTGGATGACTGTATTTTAGTGGTGGAGGATTGGGATGGTTCCATTCTATATAGATCAGGGCTACTCAACTTGGAAGCCCCGGGGCCACAGTGATACTCATAGCACATGCTGAGGGCTGCAACTTAAGTGTGACTGTATGCGTGTATGTATATATATATATATATGTGTGTGTGTGTGTGCATATATATATGTGTGCATGTGCATGCAAATAGCTTCTTTCACACTGACGGGCCTGAATACAAAGATTAAGGCAAGACTACACAACACACAGGCCCCATTTAAGTCAGTTCTGCTGAAATTAATAAAATGCAATATTTACCAGATTTCTACCCATATGACAGCACTTTTAATAAGCAACGACAGTCCAGGAATTTAACTACTAAAATGCATATCAACAGAAGACCATTATATTGAATATTTTTTGTTTTGGCTTCCACACGGAGGCCATGTGTTGAGCCCCACGTAAATCCAAACTGCACCACGGGGGTCACAAACGGGCCGCGGACCGCATGCAACCCATGGGCTACATGTTGAGTAGCCCTGATATAGATTCTTATATTACACTCATCCTTCTGTACAAGACATATCTAGCTTTGCTCTACAAAAGCTGCAATGACAATACCAGGGCTGCATCTAGACTGGCATGATTTTCCAGAAATGCTTTTAACGGAAAAGTTTTCCGTTAAAAGCATTTTCGGAAAAGAGCATCTAGATTGGTACAGACGCTTTTCAGCAAAAGCACTTTTTGCGGAAAAGCGTCTGTGGCCAAACTAGATGCGCTTTTCCGCAACACAGCCCTGATCGCCATTTTCGCCATCGGGGCTTTTTTGTGCAAAACAAATCTCAGCTGTCTACACTGGCCTTTTTGCACAAAAGTTTTGCGCAAAAGGGACTTTTGCCCGAACGGGAGCAGCATAGTATTTCCACAAAAAGCACTGATTTCTTACAGTAGGAAGTCAGTGCTTTTGCGGAAATTCAAGCAGCCAATGTAGACAGCTGGCAAGTTTTTCTGGAAAAGTGGCTGATTTTCCGGAAAAATCGGCCAGTCTAGACACAGCCCAGAAGTTAGGTTACGACGGTTTGACTCTCTCTCTTAAGTGGGTTTAATCTAAGGAAGATGAAACAAAAACATGTTAGCCCCATTTGTGGGCTAATCTGTTTTTTGCAATTCAGCATAGACTGTGCAGACTCTGGATCCTTCCTTGCTCTGTGACAAGATGCTGATCAGTCAGCAGCCAGGATTTTAATGTTGAGATTCCTCCTTCTCCAGTTTGAGTACTTATCTACTAGCCTGCTCTACATCCCAAAGGAGAACCTCTCAAAGCCTGCCAGTATGGGGATAAAAATCCAATTAGAAGTAAAATTGGGAGTTGGGATTTGTTTTTCAGTGGCTTGCCTAGTGTTTCAGAAGTTGGGCTCTGTATAGACAGACACCCAAGGGAGGGAGATAAGAAACTGCAGCAGCTGCTGACTGAGGGAAAAGGGGAAGAAAGAAAACTTGACCTCATCTTGCCCATTTTTCTGAGTGCAGAGCTTTTCACATGGAAACACTACTCTAAGCCACTACCAATGGTGTCTAACAAAAGAGCTCAGAAACACCAGATGGCATCTCTCATCTTTGACCTAAGGGGTAATTCCAGTGTCATGGGCTGAGTCTCACTGGCAGGGAACTTTTGTGGCCTCATAAGCCTCCTAGTTACCAGGCCTGATCCACTTGACCAGATGTATCTGAACAAGATGAGGCCTTTCCCCAAAACCCTGGAAGAGAGAGAAAAGGGGGATCCATGTCACCTGAAGACTTCTGGTCCATCTAGTTACTCTGCAGGACCCTGCTGAGATCCAAGGTATGCCAGGCATTTCTCTTCCTAGGTTAGGGCAGGACTGATACTTAGAGGTATGGATCGGAAAAGTCAGGACTTTAGGCAAAAACAAGGACACATGCAAAGGATAACCTTGTTATAGAATATCAAATGAAGACTACAGGCAAGTGCATGTAGCTCTTCTATTCTCTTCCTGATGGCTACTCAAGAACTATCTTCAGAATAAGGGACTGCAGAGCTATGAAGCAGAGAGGTTTGTATAATCACAGAACAAACAGACTCCTCAAAGATACAGGGCAGTTAATTGAAGAGTGGACATCCTTAACTGGTATCATGATTACTGATTTCCTGATTCCCCTCTCCTACACATTTGACAGACACCTGAATATAGTAGCAAGAACCCTAAGTAGGGTCAGACATGAGATCTTTGAAGGAAACCTTCAGCAAGTCAAAGATAGCTGTCATTCTGCTCCATCTAGCTGGGAAAAGCTCTTACCCACATCATCCATGTGGGAACAGAACCACCGATGTGATAGAAAGCAGAAGATGTAGTCTTTTTTGCTGTGGTTGCAGCAATGACTGACCCGCCCTATCAAAGACGTACAACTCCTTTAAGAGAGTCTTATGGCAAACCAGGCTGAGACATTTGGGTGTCAAGGCCCGAGAAAGTTACAACACCCTTTTGACAACGATTTTGGCATAAAAACAGAGGCAAGCCATCAGCAGGACCACAAAGCAATTAGGATTAAAGGAAAAAAAAAACAAATAGTCTGGTAGCATTTTATAGACTAGGCAATTAGGATTAAAGGGAAAAAAAACAACAAATAGTCTGGTAGCATTTTATAGACTAACAAAACATGTAGATGGTATCATGAGCTTTCATGGGCACAACCCACTTCTTCAGATTAGTGAAGTGTCTTCATCTAGCCCAGTGGTCCCCAACCATTAGACGCTGTCAGGCACCAGGGGGCATGGCCGTTCGCCTGTTGGGCACCAGAGGGCGGGGCCCCCCCATAGCTAT